GTGTTATAGTGTGTGTGAAAACGAGTACTTTACTCGTGGTGACAATAATAAAAAAAAAAAACGGTGGGATAGATTTTCCGTCATCGCCATGTGAGTTTTCCGCCTCTTGTTTTGAGAATAGGGTAAGAACCTCTTTCACATTTCACACGAGTTCTGTTTCCGCATATGTAAAATATTTTTGGTATTAAAATTTTGGAATTTGTTTGAAGAATGAAATTCACGAATTCAGTATGTAACTTCAGGGTAAAAAAATGCTATTTTTGACAGCATCTCCCCTTCATCGCTATGAAAAGTAAGATGAAAACTTCTTCTGCACAAAACCGGATTATACGACAAAACGGACAAATCGTACGATTTTGTGAAAGGAATTGGGACGCGTGAATGACCCTCGGGCTAGCGTTATCGTCCAAGGTCAGTCAATCTTTACATACATCTAATTATTAAATCTGAATATGCGAAAGTATCCTCCCCCGCCTTTCTACAACAACACACTCATATTTTTTTGCTGTAAGAGAAAACCCGCCATTAAGTTTTGACTTTACTTTCACAATGAAACACAATCGCTCTTCCAACATGTTTCAATATACCCCTCTTCCTACCAAATTCGTTATTACTTCTGATATATTAAACATTAAAGTTGCTAGAATAAAGTTGTGATGAACGCCTCGGCCGGTCGTTATAGTGAAGATCTTCAGCATCGGTTATGTATATCAGTTGATGGTTCCTTTCCTCCAATGGTTTTATGGATGAACGATTTTTTTCTCCGGATTTAATATGTTTTGATATGATGCAAGATTTCTCTGGGTGGATGTTTTTGTTTTTGTTGTTGTTTTGGCGACCCGTTCATTGGGTGAACTTCCCATTACGTGTATTTGTACGATTAACAAAATATGAATGTTTAAAAAAAATTTTTTTTAGTTTATGGATGTTGTACTTTTCACACCATTTAAACAAAAAATGAAACGCACATACCACTGACGCTCATAGTTTTGTTCGAATTGGAGAATTTATTCGATATTACTTACAAACAAGTAATAAGTCCCTGTCATAATTATATATTCATGTCAATTTTATTGATTTCGTAACTTGGTTTATTTAGTCGCAATACACATGTGAAACGCAAAATATTGAGATGCATCGGGTGCAAGCTACGGGTCATAAACCCCACTGGAGGTGAAGTCGTTCAACAGGTGGTTTCACTATACGTGTTTTGTCTCGATGAGACTCCCGTATTAGGTACTTGCTGAGTATAGTGTACTTAATAAATATGAATACTATTTTGTGGTCCACACACCATATTGAATCAATCATATTAAACGCATTAATAGACCCTGTGGTGGAGTCATAATACGAGTCTCCGCTGGTGTAGCGTGCTCTCTTCAAACCAAAGAGATTGTGTATGGGCCGGGCCTCCGCATCGCTCGCAGCGTCAGGATGCTACGTCACCGCCACTAATTTCTATTAGTTGTTTTTCCTCACACGCAGGAGAACAACAGCGGAAAAAAATTGAAAATGCATTAAGTGGCTTTCTGCAGCCATGCTTTAGTAAAACAATACTGTATGGGGAGGACATTTCGGAAGGAGAGGGGCATATCGTTTGGTGGGGACGTGTGTAGGCGGGCATAATGACTCCGCAAACAGCTGTGGCGAATGTGACGATCAGTCTGTTGCCGTCCACCGCTGTGTTTTTTTGGGTGGCGAAGCCGTTGACGAAAAAAAGTAATATCCTTTCAACTACAAACTCGGTTTAATGAAGATTCAATCCGTTTTTATGCGAAGCTGATTCCGCTCTTACACCACATTAATAAGGACGTGCATTCCAGGCGTCGTCCACGGACGCGGAATGTGATAACGCTGTGTCTATTCAATCGTGAATTTGTTCTGAAAGAT